GACCGGCCGGCGTTTGATATGGGCACCATGTCACCATAGCCAATCGTGGTAAGACTGACAAATGCTAGATAGAAGCCGTCAAAGTAGTTCCAGCCCTGATAGGGATGTTCACAGGTCTGGAAGATGTAGGCACCAATCAGCCATAAGGCCAACCACGTGCCACCGGACGTAGCCATGGCAAACCAGCGCCGTCTTTGGGCGGCGCGGTGCTGGATTTTTCGCATAATGTTAAACTCCTCCTCGCGGCGTTCGTATTCGGTGAGGCCAGTCGTGTTGGGGCGGGGGCCTTCGAAGCTGGACGCGCCCTCGTAGTCACCTCGAGGCGCACCGTCAATGGATTCCCTTCGATCCCGGATAGGCCGAAGAATGTCATCCTTTCCCTTCTTGTGCAGCGTGTTGAGAAACTTGCGCCGATTTTTCTCGGTCATCCGTGCATCCAGGCGGCGTCTGCCGCGTTCCAAAGCAAGGCTCCGAATTGAGCCAATGACCAGACCGAGGCTGATGATGCCAATGAGTGCGAATGGGAAGAGAAGTGAACGGCCCAAGGTCGTCTGCGCTGCAAAGTCACCGAAACCGATGGTGAATAGCGTGACATCTGCCCAGTACACGGCGTCGAGATACGACCAACCCTCGATATTAGAGTAGATCAGCGCGCCGATGAGCAGATACATGAGAAACATAATTGTTTGCAACATCAATGTGCGCTGGCTGTTTGTGAGCTGGAAGTCCTTGGGATAGTGGCCCGTTGCTGCACCGAAAAACGTCACAACCATGAGCGAGGCCACAAGCATGTATAAGATGGCCGCGTAGATGGCGTAGTAGAACGCTTGTGACCATACCAGCTGCCCGTCCAAAGTGATGTCATCCTTGAGCGGGCCGGATGCGGTGGACACCAATGCTATGAGGGCGAGCGAGGAAAAGTACCAGCCAGTCATCGTGATGGGCTGCGCAATGGAGAAACGAACACGCCGTGCCATGTTCAACAGAAGAAACATATTGGACACCAGGGCGATCGCGAGCTGGACAGCATTTATACACGTAAGCCTTGGACGGTGGTTAGTACGTTATCGAGGCACGCGGAAGGATGGCACGTCGGCCACTCACCATATCGGGTCTTTGGTGAACTGGGCCGTGTCGATCGTCTCGCCCGCGAGGATCACCTGCCGCCACGGCCGGACGAGCGCGCAGATACTGAACGCCGATGCAACAGGGCCGAGGGTCGCGGCAATCATAGGAAACGCCGAGGAGGCAAACCACCAGCGACTTGGCGACAAGTTGAGGTCGCCATGCTCGGCATTAAAGTCGGCCGCCAGGGCGGCGGCACGGCGGTCGTAGGCCATGGCGGCGGTATCCGCGGCGCGACGGTCTATGCTGAAGCTGCGCCTCTTGTCTAGTTCGTCGATGCATTCGTTCAAGTTGCTGTGGCGGCCGGTCACAATGGCATCGAGGCTCATGAGATGCCGGCCATCGCCGGCACCATTGCCGGATAACTTGTTGGCGTCTGGGCGGGTGCTGGCACTTGTCGGCATGGTCATGCTGGTTGTGCGCGACGGCGGCTTAGGCCGGCCCAGCTGGTCGAATGCGGCCTCATACTCGCCGACGGACTGACCTGCCGAGTCATCCATGGTAAGAGCGGAAAGAAACCAGCGCAGAGAGCAAACGTACAGCTATGGCACGCCCATTCAGCCTAGGGAGACGGTGGTGAGCTGGAAGTTGAGCTGCCACTGCAACACCGGGTGGACCGCTGTGTCCAAATTCGCGTTATGTCGTCAGCCAGCACGTTGTACATGGCATGCGGCACGATAGGAGCTCCTGGTAGGTTAAAGATGCGAGCGTTTATTCTTCCTCGCGTGCCGGTCGAGCCCTTTCGCCAGGGATAAGATGTGAAGGTGGCAAAAGTAGGCGATTCCAGCACTGGAGACAAAGACGAGCAAAAATAGAGGAGAGGCCCGAGAAATAAGCAATTGCCAAGACCTCGAGGAAAAGTGGAAGGCACGATGGACAGATGTTAAGATAAATGAGAGGTGATAGGTGGCAATGACGGAAATGCGTAACTGTGGAAAGTGCGATCGGACAAAAAGAGAAACTGGGAGGCGATGACGTGAAGTGGATTCCGACTTCCTGCACCTTTGTCAGTTCGTCTTGGTCGCGCTTTCCCCACAATGGGAACAGAACCAACCGCAACAATGAAAAGCGACTTCTTGCCTTGCTTGCATTTGTTCCATTTGCCGATATTTTATGGCGTATATTCCACCATTTTAGGTATTTCGAACTGCAAACTTACGCACCCACCTTGACGCTGAAATTCACAAACTGGCTCATGCTGTCTTTTGACTTTGCGAGTCTTTATCTTTCCCTCGATCCTTAACCTGCTATCTCGGCCTTCTTTTACTTTCAGCGTCAGTTATTTTCAAACTTGCAATTTGTAACCGTTTTGGGACTAGCGCTCAATGTGGCGAATCGTTCTTTCCCTGAACAGCGGGACGAAGCATGTTTGGCAGGTACGATCAGCTATTGGACGTGCCTGCCAGAGTGACGGGTCTAAAACACATGACTACTGCGCATATGTTTTTGACAGCAACAGAACCAACAGGCAATAGTGCATTTTGCACGACAACACAACCCTGCGAGACGACGCACTCCGTACAATCTGGACACTTTAGCAAACGCCAAACCTCGAAAAAGTCCCACGAGCGGCTTCGTTATACGTCGCTGATGTTTGAGCGTGGTACGACGTAGAATACCGTGTCTTTGGCGGTGTTAACACTCTTCATGTGACGAACGGACGTTACCCACGAAATTCCCCAATTGGCCAAGTCTGGCTTTGTTTTCGAACTTGGCGACGCGTTTTTCTGGCCCTCTTGGGCTTCCGTCACGTCTATGCGCTTCCAGTTCGATGTGGCGTACCCTAGCACGCTTCCGGGCCAAGTTTCAATAGTTAACACCCCCAAAACGTGTTCAAGACCACCATGACGTCCAGCTGAAATTTGGAGTCTGAACTAGACGACGGTTCAGAGGACAAGTGCCTTAAATGAGGACCAAATCCAAGCAGGATCTCAGTCATTGGCCGTTGGATGCCTCCCGAAGCTGCCGGGGTGGCGGCGATGTCACGCTCAATTGGCGATGGCCTGCTGCTCTTTGGACGACAGGCGCGGCCGCTGTGGGCTGCATCAAGCGCCGTTCACAGAACCGCAGGCTGGCTGACCACACAGGAGAGGCACCGACCACGTCCTCGGCGGATTGCAGGCGGTATCGCCGCTCGGCTTTTCCACGCGCCAGTGGGCGCATTATCAGCTCACGCACTAGACGATTTCAACTACATCGTCGGTCAGTCTGAGCGTGTCGAACACGTTCTTGTCCCCTGTGCATCGTCGGGTAGCATCATCGTCAGGTGAGCCTGTTCTTCTTCTCTTCTCGGTGCATTGATAAGTGAAGTCGCTGATCGTACCTTAAAGTCTGTACAATGTCCACAAACACCCGCCGACAAAGCCGCTGCTCCTGTATCTGCCACCATCTTATCATTCTCCATTGGACGTTCAAAACGAGGATGGTGTTGTCGTCGCTGAAGATGTACAAGAGGCAGCGCTGCAGCCACCGCCGAGCTTCCTTCTTCGTCAGAATTATCCTATTGCGGTTATTCGTTACCGGTGGTCGAGAGGCAAGCCACGGAACGGCCCAGACGCTACAGAGGATCCCGACCAGAGTCAACCGCCGTCTTACATGTGGCCAAGACCGCTTCACGACGTGATGTTCGCGTACGACTGGATCAAAAAGAACTTGTCACCGCCCCTTTCGGCGTCCACTCGAGATCGCGACGGCCGGCGACATTTCTTACGCCGTGACTTGTACGTGTACGGCTCGTACCTGAGCGCCGGACTAGCTACATCGTTTGCTTTGACAGAGACCCATCCGCCGCACCGCGTGGCAATACGGGGGTTGGTTGCGTACAACGGCATCTACAACTGGACGGCGTATGTGAGCATGACTTCCGACGGCATACCCGTGGCAGACGATGCCGCGGCCGTCCACAACGCTACACCTGGGATCCGGTCGCTGCCAGAGCTGTTCCGCCAACCACCCGATCTGTTCGACGCATTTGCTAGCCCGAGCTTGCTTTTCCGGACCACCGGACACTTGGTTGCTCCGCTCCATCTTGACAGAGATATCAGTAGGCGGCTTCTGGAAGAGAGAGAGGCCAGGCTCGACGAAGAAGAAGCAAAGGAAAAGGAGGGCCAGGCCGGCGTACAGGCTTTGGGCAAGCGGACGTTTGGCATGGAATTGCTGGGCACGTCTCGCAAAGCGTACCTTGCGTTCCCTCCCATGAAGTCCACTCTTTCAATCCCGTCTGCCCTTTTCTTGCACACATCACCGGACGAACCCCCACCATCTCCAAGACCAGCGACAGCAAGAAAACCGGGCACGCGTGCAAGGCCGCGAAAAATACCGGAATCAACAAACAGTAACAACTCCTTTGCGGTACAGGCAGATGAGATGGCAAGTCTCATGCGACGCGGCATCGACAAGGTCGAAATTAAACGACTGCAACAGAAACTGCCTGTCTTGCTTCCAGAATACACCGACAATAGGAGCATCGAGAGCGATATGGAAGTGCGCAGCAGCGACGCAGAGAAACGCGTGCGCGTTGCCGGCGTGGATGCTCCTGTCGACGATAGCCTTGAACTAGGCGAAGACGGCCAGGCAATACTACTTGACTGGTTGGACGAACAGATGGACAATGGTGCCGTTCATACTAACTGAGGAGGGACGAATGTTCAATTGAAATAAATAAAATAAATTATCAATTAAGAAAAACAAGGAGACATCTATCATTTTGATGTATTGATTCTGTCTCACATGCGAAGCATGATTTGAAAGAACGGCTAACAAATACGAAAACACGCTGAAGACAACGATAACATGGAAATTGCAAGAAAAATCACGAAGTGAAGAAACGCACAATTCTAACGAACACTACCTCACCCCCTTCATCAACCCCTTCATCAACCGACATCGTGACGGACCTGTGGCGGCGGTGGCGGCACCTCACTCAGGTTGCTGAGGTTGAGACGGTGGCCAGGAAGCCCGTCGTTCTCGAGAAGGCTTGTCCTGGCGCCAACCTCGCCCGTCTGGAGTGCGTTTTCCTGCCTTGCCATCTGCTCTCCGAATGCCGTGCCGTCCAGTGCCAGGTCCATCGGGAGCGTCCAACGGCGCCCGCTACTACGACGGCCTTTTTTGTTTTTCCGCAGCCCGAACCAATAATAGAGCCAACCTGCGACCGCCAGGAGCGGGACACCGACACCGAGACCAACGCCGAGACCCAAGGCCAAGGTGTGCTTGCTCGTTTCGGGCTGGGGCATTGGCGACGTGCTCGCAGACGCTGAGGCACTGGAGCTCGTGGGCAACGATGTCGAGGAGGATTCGGCCGAGGTTGGCGTAGGGGCCGGTGTCGGTTGCGATGTCAGGTAGGATACGGTGCCGGTAAAGGACGCCGTCTCGCCCACGATGGTCTGCGGCTTGCCCGCGTTCACCACAAAGCTACCGCCCTCGTTGGGCGACGACAGAGAACAGTTGCAGCGCCCTGCGTTGTAGTCGCCGCGGCAGCAAAAGCGGTTGTCACCGCAGGCGACCATTTCGCCGTCGGCATTGCCCGAGCCGGTGATGCAAAAGTCGCCGCAGATGTCGTTGTTCCACTGCGGGTTGGTGCACATGGAGCGCTCAACCGCGCCCAGGGTGAGGTTGGGGAACGACTTGGACTCGTTTGTCACGACACAGAGCGAGTTGCTGAAGCAGGTGTAGCCGGGTGCGCAGCAGTTGGTGATGTAGGCCGTCGAATCGCAAGGAAAATACCCGGGTGCGAGGGTACCGGTCGGGTCATAGCACGGCGCATTGGAATCGGCGACGGTCAATGGCGGCAGACTTGAGGCGGCGAAGAAGACAGCGACATACGATATGACGAGGCGTCTCGCGGGCCGTGATGCTATTGTATCAAGCATTTTGTGAGAGGGAGAGAGGATGTGTGTGTGTGTGACAGGCCAATGTTTCTTGTTCCGTCTTCGCTGGACCGCGTTGGGCTGTCTTTTGTGCTCTTGCGGTAAGTCAACAAAAATATTCCGAATGATGTCACAATTAGATTTCGGTTGGAACTGGAAAGGGTGCCGACGGGGGTTTATAAATAAAGCACTTGGAAAGACGAGATGCACCAGGGAGAGCAAGGGCATTGGAGACGAAGGACAAAATTGGCAAGGCTGGACACTTTCTGGTACAACGAACGCTCAGGCGGCCTTTGGACCCCAATGGCCAAGTGCGCCAAGCAGCATCATATTTACGTCGAGCTGAAATATCTGGCACGATAAAGGAGTAATAAGCCGCTGTGGTGTTTCCTAGTCTAGAACACATGAACCAAAAGCCACCATTTTAATTCGTCCACTGAACCCCCTGCCGCTTAGAGAAAAGTGTGGAAATGATACTTTTGTTTTTTATTTTCGACTTTTTGCGTTTCGCCTCAAAAACAATGTAAAGGGGGCGGCAAAGAAGGATGTGGAGACATGGTCGTGCAGAGCCTCAACTGACACAAGCCACCGCCTCCAAGTCAATAGATCGGCTTCAAGTGTGGTTGCATTTGCAAGCAAGCTCCCTGGCCAGACCAACATTTACAAGAGTCTTTCCCGTTTGGGCGGCGCCTATCTCCCACGCACAAAAGGCATTGGACGGTTTCCGGGGCCGCAGATACGCAGAAATTAAGCGAAAGGCAGTCCGTGGGAGGTGATCTGAGGCGGCAGCCCAATGCTGAGTACGTATAGGGAAAGCGATACCCGAAAATGAGGCATCGATGAGACGTGCTGTGGTCGGTTCTCCCTTGTAAGTTGGAGAGAAAGAGGGAGAGCGGTCGCGAAGGCTCGTTGACAGGGCGCGGGCCGGCGATGTGGACCTAAAAAGCCCCGACTTCATTTCAAGGACAAAAGGTATGGGACAGAAAACAATGACCAAAAACATTTGAAAAAAAAAGGCGACGTTCGACAGGCTAGGCAAGGCGGATTTGCAGACATTGGGACGAAAAAGGCGGCGCGGGGAGCAATTAAGCTTCTGAGGGCAGGCCCGCTGCGCCACGGAAGCTAGCGAATGGTGTCGGCACAGAGTCCACAACGTGGAAAAGTCGACAAAACAAATCGAATATCCCTAATGTGGCAGTCTGCCTGTTCTTTGAGTTTCTTGTTCACGTGAGTGTATGATAAAATATAGTATTTCAGGCTGTGGAATTCAAGACTCGACGTCTAAGAAAAAAAAAAAAAAAAAGCAATCGCAACAAAGCAATACGAAGAATTAACAAATAAAACGAAAAAGGTAAAAAGACTGTCAAGGGGTAAAGATATGTACGTGCACACAAGTACATGTATAAAAAGAAGAGAAGAAAAACGAAGAAAAGAAAGAAAGAGACTGGATAATATTTTTCAACTTATTTCCCCCACTCCTCTCCCCACTCTTCTCCCATCATAGCAGCTCCAATTCCCTCCTAGAACCGGAGCACAACACCGCGACTTCCGCTCTCCGGCGCGTGCGGACGAGTGGCGGCCTGGTTCTCCAAGGCCACAGCTTGGGCACCGTATGTGGCTTCAGATCTCGACAGGGCCGCTGCGACCGCCCTGCTCTGGACAAGTTGGACAACTGCATCGTTCGGTCTATCGACGGACCGGAAGAATACAGGATGCACCTTGCTGGCGTCGTTGCTCAGAGTTGCGGGAACGGACGGACCGCCGGCAAGCACAGGGTGCTGACGTGCAGCGTCAAAGGGGTAGCTTCGTGCCACGGCATGGTCGAGCGCGGCTTGCCACTGGTTGGGTGTGGCACTGATGCGGCGCTGCAGCCACGGGTAGCTGGCCGTCACGGCCTCCTGGAGGGCCGCCTCCCAGTCGCTGTGCGAGGCCGCGGGCCGCACCCTGTGCTGTTGTTGTTGCGGTGCGGGCGGCGCCATGCGCACCTGGTCAATCTCTTTCTCGACCGAGGCGAGAGATGCGGCCGGGCTGGCCGACGCAGCGCTGGACACCCCAGCCGCGGCCTTCATCTTCTCCCACCATGTCTTTTGCTTGACACCAACGCTGGACGCGGGGATGGTGTCGTCGACGACAACCGGCAGGGTCTTGGGGTCCTTGGCCAGGATCCAGTTGTTCTCAGTTGGCTTCCGAACATGGTGGGTCGACGTCTCAGCGGCGCTCCAAAGCTTGGTCGACTCGAGCCGCAGCTGTGGCAAGTGTGACAGCGACCGCGGTGCACGAACCATGTCCACAGCGGCCGGCTCCAAGGCCGTTGTGCGAATCGGTCTGTGCAGCTTCTGGGCGGCGGCAGCGTCGCGGTCAAACAAGGGACCCTTGGCGAGAACATTGGGAACCGGCATGGGCGCCCACATCCGAGATGCGCCTCCGTTGGCAGTTGTCCACAAGTTCGTGGACATGAGCTTCTCCAATGGTGCGCTGCTCAGTTTGCGGGGCGTGCGAGGCATGTCGAGCGCTGCGGGTGTTTTGTCCGTCATTCGAGTAGGCTCGTTCATCTTTTCAACGGCAGCAACGTCACGGTCAAACAAGGGGCCTTTGGCACTGACCTCGGGAACCGGCTTGGGCGCCCACAGCTTAGTTGACATGGGCTTCTCGAGCTGCGGTATCTCCAACTGCGCTGCCTTTGCCTGGGACGCTGCTTTCTCGTTTTCCATCTTCTTCTGCTTTGTAGCTGTCCACAGGCTGGACCGCGGGTTGGCCGGCAATGTCTTGATGGTGGATCGGTCCCAGAGCTGACCGGTCTCGATCGTAGACGACTCGGACTTGCGGGGCTTGGAGCGCAGGGTTGCTGCTTGGCTCACCGTATCGTAGCTCTTCCAGGTTTCCTTGTCCGGCTGTGCCATGGAGAACTCATTGGTACTGGCAGTCGTAACGTCTTGGCGGTCGTTCCATAATTGCGAATCGCGGCGGCGGCTCTGAGGGTTCAGGCCAGCCACGACTTCGACAACATCGGCGTAGTTGCGGCTGTCCATCTCATTCAGATGCTCGACTTCATGGCCTGACTGTATGTCATCAATGTAGTCGCCCATCACGGATCCAGACGAAAGAGGCGGTGGGAACATGCTCAGAGTCGACGGGACCTGCTCGGTCTTCAACAGACTGGCAATTTCCCACAGTGTCGTCTCATCGAAACCATCGTCACTGCCAGACCCATCCTCGCCAAAGCCATTGTCTTCATCATCAAAGTCCTCGTCGTCGTCGTAGTCGTCAAAGAAGGACGAGGAGTACTCGTTGGCCTCGAGCTCTTTGGCGCGTGCCTCAAGAGCTGCGTTCAATTTGCCGCCGCCCGAGGCCATTGTGCCCGGCATGGCACCAAATGGAGCACCGCGGAAGGGCGGTGTCGGAGGCTTTGCAGTGTCGGAGCGCTCGCCCCAGGGGAACTGGAAGATGCCGAGTGTACCACGCTTGTCAGGAAGCGGCTTGGGACTTTCCAGAATATCGGGAAGCAGGGTTACGCGCTTGTTCCTTCTCGGCGGGCGCTGCGTGACGGGGCGAGGCGCTTTTTGCGAGGACTCGACGCGCTCTTCGCGGTCGGCTTCCATAGCGTCCATTTCCAACTCGAGATCTTTCATCTTCTGCATCATGAGCTCTTCCTCAGTAAGTTCCAGTGCTGCGACGTTGTCCTGCTGAACCGGCTCCGGCTGCGAGTGAGACATCCATAGACCACGGCTTGAGTGGACAGGTTGTGATGGCTGGGTGCTACGCTTTGTCCACAGAGAAAGAGACTCAATTGGTAGGGGCCCAGACAACTGCTGTTTCCCAGTCTTGGACGTTCTGCCGGATGAGTGCAGAGGCTGCATGGTACTCGTAATCGACGCAAACATAACCGTAGGCTGGTGTGACGGCACTGCTGGGGCAGGTGTCCACAGCAGCGTCGTCGTCGTCGTCGTCGTCATTGTCATTGCGGCGGACTTGGCGGCCGGGATCCACAAGGTCGGCTTCTGGCCCCGGGCTGTCTTTTGAGTCAACGCGCCGTCGACAGAAGCCGAAATTGCGGCTTCGAGCGTGTCGTATGGTCGGTGCAGACGGAGGTCCAGGTCTTCCTCGTCCGAATCCGGGGGAGTGGGGCTCCCTAGAGCGCCAAGGTCAAGTACGGTGTTCGAGAACGGTCCTCTCTTGCTGGCACCGCTCTGGAGCGAACGAGCCGCGGGTGCGGGAATGCTGGACACGACGGATTCTTCGGCCGTCACTCTGTTCCAACTGCTTGCCTGAATCCGGGAGCGCCGGGCAGCTCTACGGTCAGCGCCGATGTGCAGTGCGACGCTTTCTTTTGCGTGCTGCTGTTGCTGCCGTTGCGGAACAACAGCGGCATTGTGCGAGCTTATCACAGATTGGCGGCGCGATTCCGTACTGGGGGACAGCGTCTGCATCGACGAGAGCGAGTCGTGCCGCAAGTCATGCTGCATCTCCTGCCAGTGGCCTGCTTGCATGTCCATTTCCCTTTCGAGGTTGTCCAGCAGCGCCAGGCGCCTGGTGGGGGTCTCCTCCGCGACCGCCAAGTTCGGCTCTTCGTACCGCCGCAGCTGCTCCTGGATGTAAGCAAGAGCACGCTCGGGCGACTCCAACGGCGACGGCTCAGCAGCCTTGACAACCACTGGGTTCTTGGTGGATGAGGGGTTCAGAAGTAGCGGTGTCGGGGGTGGCATCTTCCGTGACCGGCCCCCCTCTTTGCGGTCAGAGAAGCTCAGCGTGTCGTCCCCAACACGACGATGCCACTGGGACTCGCGCTTCTCGCTCTTCTTTTGCCATGGCGCGCTGTCTTGGTCAGACGACGTGGGTGACGCTTTGGTCTTTCCGCCGTTGTAAGTCGTTGCGGGCAGCAGCGGCAGAAGCGGTTCAGAATTGTCATTGGGAGCCGATCCTGCAGGCCCCAGAGTGAGCCCGTCCCCGCGTTCTCCACCATTGATGTACGTGGTCCGTGCCACCTGCCGGTTGGCTGGGATGGGCACTGCAACGACAGGGGAGTGGACAGAGCCCCAGTTGGTTGTCGCATCGTCGTGCGTCCGAACATCAGTGCTCATGGTTGTGGTCGAGTCGCGGGTGGGTGGGAGGACTGGTGACGAGGCACGCTTTCTCCCGCCAGTCGGCAAGTTCGCCGCTCTGCTGCTGCCGGCCAGACTAGGCAGCCAAGTACTGCTGACGTCTTCGTTCATGCTCTGATTGCGGCCGCCGCTGAGATGGGAAATGTTGTCGGCTCGACGAGGCAGCTCGTTCACCTCCAAGATGTTCTCCGTCTTGATGGAGGTACGACCAGTCCGGATCGTGCTCTGAGACATGCGGCTGTCGCGATCGTAGCCCTCGGTTGGCGATAGAATGATGGGCATGTAGTCCAACGGCATTGCCGGCATTTCCGGAACAGACGACCGGCGACGCGCGAGGGGTTCCCCGCTTGGCGGCGTGGGGAATAGGAGGGTCATTTTCTCATCAAAGGTCATGCTCTTCGTGTCATTCGGTTGCGGGCGGTCGGCGTTGCGATGCGCCATGCTGTACCCCGTGTTCTTGGGAGGCAATGGCAATGGCGGGAGCTGTGTCGGGCTGCCAGGGTTGGACAGAATAATTGACTTGCGGCTGACGATGGAGCCACCTGATTTGCTGCGGCGGTGTCCGGCCAAGTTCGGAGACGGCTCTGCAGGGAAGATGGCCCGGTCCTTTTCAAGGTGTCTGGGGATGGGACGGGGCCGGTGCACAATGGAGTGCGTGGATCTCCGCTTCGTTTCCTTGTTGCTTGCATCGTTGATAATGTCCTGCACTCTCTCCGGGTTGTCGTAAACAATGTTGTTCATGAACATGACCGTCTGCTGCCGTCCTGCACCCTGCCCATTGTCTAGGGTTTGCATGGCCGTTGCCCGTGGGTTTCTAGGCAGGCCATTCGTAGGGCGACGGAGCAGAGGTGGCTGGGGAGCCTCGGAGGCCGGCTGTGTCGGCGTTTTCGGAAGCTGGCGCGATGGCCGAATCTCAGGCCGGCGTATGCTCGCATCTGCTCCAATAGGCGGTGCTGGGAGGTCTGCGTCTTGTCGTGCAGGCCGTGCCGGAGGTGCAAAAGTGGCGGGCTGAATGATAAAATCAGTTGTCTCTTGGTTTTGTTCGAGCGTCACGTTCACTTGCTCTGGCTGATCATAATTGTCAATCCCATCGAGTTGTCGCGGGACCTCTTGCCTAGGGGACGGAAGCGGAATTGTAGGTGACGGTGCAGATGGCATAGCGGCGGGCATTGTTCGCATAGACTGGTCGGCCTCACTGTCGACAGGTGGCTGTCTTGGTGACCGTCTCCGCAGTTCCTCCACGCCCGGCGACAGTTGGGCAGAGGATGTTGTGCCCATAGGCATCGGCTCCAGATTCGACATAGTGGGAATTGGTGGTTGAGAAGACACAGGTGCAACTTCCTTCCGCCTGAGGCTTACTGATCGTTTCATTGCCTCTTCAGTCGACATGTTGGGAGGCTGTGGTGCAGGACGCTTTGCGATCAAAGCCGATTCTCTCTGAAGATCGTTTGCACGCCTCTCGCGCTCACCCCGTGCCGCTTCTTCCAGGCTAATTGTAGCAATCTTGTTGAGGGGATTCTGATCGCCGTTCGCTTCGAGAATCGGGTTCGAGATGGTCATCTTGCCGCCACGGCCAGCTCCGGGACCACCCTTTAGATCGAGAAGGCTACGCTTCGTCTTCCCCTGAGGACGAATGTCCACCTTGCGCAAGCCAGAAACTGCAGCAGTCGCAAAAGCAGAGACGGAAGGAGCAAATGTTTCATTTTGTACCATTAACGGCGGCGCCTCGACGTTTGCCAGCATGACTACGGGTCGCGAGAAATTGGCAGGTACGGGAGGGACTCCGGGAGCTTCACGGGGCTGTTCGAAAGCGTAGGTCGTCATAATCTCGGATCGCTTGACATCTTCGAACCGGCTTGGGGGATAATCGGATGAGGCGTCAGTAGAAACGGAACTGCCGGTGGTGATGTTGCGGATACCGGGAGAGTCAGGTGCCCTTGTTGACTTTGTGCTGCTCGTCGTCAACGCACCGTTGCAAGTGGTGATAATAACTAAATCGTCGTTAGCAGCACGAAAAACTTGCAAGCCTATTGCCATTATTCAACTTACAAACGAGAATCGACAGGCCCGTGGCTGGAAGAAGAGTACGCAGACGGAAGTCGGCACTGGTCATCCCAAGAAGCATAACCACGCTGGTCTAATTTATTTTTTGTGTTAGCAACAAATTTCCAAGTGAATAAAAGCAGCAAGCAAAAATATTCAGGAAAGTTGAGCATACCCCAGTCCAAATGGCAAACGCAACAATAACAAGCAGAATCGCCTTGCTGGGCCCAGCATCAGCGCTGCCCCCCCGAGCGTCTCTCAGGAGACCGGCCGTGACGGCTATAATGGCTAGAGCCGCGATGAGAACGAAGTCAAGAACGACAACAACGACTGCAACAGGCATCATCGAGGACATGGGTACGCAGGCAGGATTGAACTGGGGCCGTGAGAAGGCGACAAAGACACAGCCAACGACAAACCGAGACACGATGAGTGCCTGAAGTGCCATTTGCTGAACGCCCGATTTGGCGCCCTTGTTGATTGCCCATAGTAGATACTGTTCGATGGAGACACGGGCGAGCTGGTCGAATAGCGTGCTGAAGATGATGCCCACCTGGCACGACGAGGCGGCCGTCGTGTCGATGAGGATAGAAATGAAGTCGGTTTGTGCCCACAGGGTGGCACCTAAAAGGAATGTGGTGAGGACCAGCCTCTGGCCGTCCCGGAACACGGTGCCTCGATGGCTGCTGACGTGGAGGAGGAGCGCCGCCGACGCCGCGTTGACGACGATGCCAAACAGGAAGGCGGCGACGAGGACCGGGACGGAAGTTCCTGAAGTCGACATGGTGACGGCGCAGCCGGTCAAACGAAGGGGAACCGGCCCGCAACACAAAAGAAAACCCAATCAATGGGACATAGGGGATGGATCGTACAACGGCCAGGTGACGCTAGAATTGAAAGAACGACAGAAAAAAGAAAGAGAAGAAGAAACAAAGTTAAATCATGTTTGCAAAGAGAGAAAGCCGTGATGGTATTCGAATCGAACGACGGCGAGGGATGAAAACGCCGCACGGAACGAGTTCGTCGCTAGACAACAAGATGGAAGAAAGAGAAGGAGGAAGAAGAAGAGACTGAGAAAGGTGAAGAAGTGACAGAGGGAATAGTGACAACCCGACGAGGAGGGACGAGGGAAACTCGCGGGAAGGAGGAGAAGGGTGGAGTCGACATGGCACATCTCCATGCATTCCACTTCAGACAGCAAGAAGACAGTGAGCGAGGGACGAGCGGACGACCAACACGTCCTCCCACACGCAGGAGGCATACAGAGAGCACGATAAAGTTTTCTGAGATACAGAGCATGCTGGGTCTGGGACAGGGCAATCCGCATCGGCGGGAACAGAAATAGAACAACCGTGGGCAGTTGCACTGGCAATCGGATACATCACTTGCAGCTCGGTGGTCACTCGAGGCAAAACTCTCTGAGAACGATACGTCCCTTTCCTCTCGCCATCTCTTCGACTTTGTGTGTGGGAACTCTTGGCATGCACAAGCGACCTGCCAAAACTTTTCTCCAGTCGGACGACGTCTCAAACACGATGCAGAAGGGGATGGTCGGGCGATTGTCCAGGATGTCTCAATGGGTGTCGTTCATGCCGGCGAAAGGGGCTCTGCGGCAGAACAGTGATTGGGCGGGGCACAAGGCTGGCCGCGGGCCACGCTGGTGGGATTGCGGCAGGATTGCGTTATGGGAAAGGCGCAGAGGTGGGAGGGTAGTATTGTTTGGGTGGTGAAGCGGATCCTTGCTGGCGCCTTGTTTCACTTGAAACCCGAGACGTCGCGGCACCCTGACATAAGATAACGCAAAGAATAGTAGCTTACGACCAAGACGGCCGCACAGCAAGCGAGGGCTTTCAAATTGATCTCAGGAAACTGCAAAACCGAACGCAACAAGTATCGAAAGCAACGCAGGTTGGTTGAGGGGACGATCATCTTCTGATCAAAAATGGAAGCATTCAAGATGTTAGTGCGCCAGTGGGCATAAAGCTGGCCGCGATTGGTACAGCATGGCCGGATCGTAGCAAGTAAAACGGCACAAGTAAAAGATCTCGAGAGAACTGCTTCTTGTATCGTTTGCTCGTGGGCTCGTAGTGCCGATCCAGCACACCACCAGCGTAAAGCATGGTGCAGAGACGATCGAAACAAAGAGAGCTGTCGGCTTGCTAATGGGAACGGTAATTGAGGCAGAACAGAACAGACAGAGCCCTTTTGTCCATGTATCGAGGAAGTTTTGCCATTCTTCGTGTACGCTCTCCGCCCAGTCGGAGAATTGGCAGATTGTCTCGCCTTTGACTGCGAGACAGGATAGATGAAGCTTAAACGAGAGTTTGTGACAGCTATACTTTGTAGAACATCATTGTATCGAGAACTGTCAGAGCGTCTGCATTGCCACCATTTCTCCAGTTAGCGGCAAGAGATGGTAACGAAAAGAGCTCCGGTGCCAGGATGACAGGTCCGAGTGGGATTGTGGAAGGACGGCGAACAGCCCGCAAATTTCGCCCAATATTAACTGTCCGGTCCAGGAGCTCCCAAAGTCCAATGTGGGGGACACACTGTGGGACGGTTGCGTCCGTTCGGGCACGCACGAACCCTTTCCCAGCAAGGTTCCAATTCGTCATGTTATATTTGGCAATGATGAAATGGTGAAAGCAGATGAAGAAGAGATAAGGTACGGGGAGAGATGAAACCAACAAAGTCCACAGGTTCAACTGGACACCGTCCGATGCAGGGGAAACAATGTATGGAAAGAGCACCTGGCGGCCCTACGCGGAAGGAACTTCTCAGAGTGACCATGCTAGGGTGACACTGCTGCGCGAAGTGAGACGATAATATGAGACGCTCTTTCTTCAAATCTTGCAATCTGTCTGCTTCTTTCCTTCTATCTTAACGTTTGTTCCTAGCACTTTCCTAAATGGTAGAATCATGTCTTTTGCCATTATGGAAAGCTTCGAAAGCTTCCATTGCTCTTTCCCATTCAGCCGGCCATTGCCTTTGCTCTGCCCATTGTTGTCTCGGCGCCCTTTCCCTGGGGATTAACCGCCTTTTAGCCAACGCCCTCTGTGGAGGATCAGCCAGCCCAAAACACATGACATCTAGCGAGCGGCAGGTTGCGCAAAATGGAAGGCGCGGCATCCGATCGTGAATAGCCTCAAATACAGTCGAAATTCGCTTCACGACAGGAGGAAAAGATGCCGCCTTGAGGTTACCAGTCTTGGCAGCCTGTCCTCGAAGAAAGAGGCCTTATGACACTGCGACGATAGCCGGAAAGGGCCGAATGGGGACGTGAAACTTGAGCGTCAAGCAATGAGTAATGAAGGTCGCGAAAAATGGAAACGAGGAGGCTGAAACAATGCCTGCCTTATCGCCTTCTTGCATATATACATAGTGAGCATGGCAAATTCACAAAGACACGAATCTAATGGCTTACCTGATGTTATCAGCTTGGACAGATGCAATGGGACGGATTGTGATAGGCAAGTCACTGGACAGAACACAGAGCGAGCTGTCGGTTGCACCTTACAAAGTAAAATGTAGAAAGTTGAGAAATGTCCTATTTAGGAAATCTTTCCATGTTAAGCCAGCAACAGCGGCTCTATGGATCCTTTTAGGAAGTAGCAATGGCAGCAGTGGTGCCTCTCTCGGCCGTTTCCCTTGTGAAAGACAACTCCGGCACGGCGCTTTTCTTCTTGACTCCTAGCTGTATATAATTCATTTCGGGTCCGTATGGGTCACGGTCGCTTCTGCCTTCCAGTTGCGTCAGTGTCTACGCCGTACTCTTCGTCTAATGCCTCCGCCTGGACCTGCTGGAACAGGCATAGTACACCCATGCAGCCCGCTGCGATGACGCCAATCGGCGCCGTGGATTAGCTCAAGTCCGCCTGCAGCTGGCGTTATTCGGGAAGGAAGGTGCGGAGAGCCGCTGGCTGGGACATAACGAAGTTTGGAAGGAACAGAAATAGAAAAACGCAAAGGAAGGCCCGAACATGTAGGCCGTCAAACAACGGAGAATGAGCCAATGAGTCACGCTAGATTTTTAATGAGGGGAGGACTTGCGAACGTTATATAAGTAGCATCACGGCTCGATGAACAGAACAAGACGAAGAAAGTCACAGAAGCCCAAGCACTGTGTCAACAGTCGAGAGTCTGCACCCCAGTCTCATAGATTAACCGACCAAGTCAATCCGCCGCCATGCCGCGCTACGAGTTGACCTACCCAAAGGAGGTGCACAACACCGTCAAGCGGTACAATTCGCGAGGTAGGGAACTCTCACGATCTTCCACTGTGACTAATCCAATGCTTCGTCGCTAACGAATGTCAGCATCATACGCTCTCCGGACCATTCACTCGCTTGTAAATGAGGCCCAGTTGCTCCATGTCTCTTTCCAGCCGGACAACTCGCCCTTCCCAGCCACCCTGCCCATGATTGGCGCAATGGGTTCGTTTGAGCGGCCCAGTGCCGATACGGGCGACGTTTTGGACCTGTATCTCCATGGCTACGTGTCGTCACGGCTGATCAACATCTCACGGACGAAGACAGCGACTGAGGAGGGCAAGGAGAGCGACAAGGACAAGCCACCGGCCGGTCTGCCCGTGACGGTTGCGGCGTCGCACGTCGATGGCCTTGTCCTGGCACTCTCCCCCAACGCCCACTCCTACAACTACCGATCGGCCGTCTTGTTTGGGTATGCCACCCTTGTCACGGACGTCTCCGAGAAACTGTACGCCATGGAGCAGATTACCAACAGTGTCGTGCCCGGCCGCTGGAACCAGACGCGCGTTCCTCCCAACAACGCCGAAATGCAGAGCACGTCGGTGCTCAAGGTGCGTATTGTGACGGGCAGTGCCAAGATCCGCACCGGCAACACGCATGATGACCGCTGTGACCTGGACGACAAGTCGGTGCTAGACAGCGTCTGGGCGGGTGTGCTTCCGGTGCACACCACACTGGGCGAGCCCATTCCGGCGTCGTACAACCGCGTCAATGCGGTTCCCGAGTACCTTGAGCAGTTCCGTACCGACTTCAACACGACCTCGCTAGGGAAGGCGATCGAGGCTGCTGAAGAGCCAGCCGAAGGCACGAAAGATACACATCCAGGGGACGCGTGAATATCTCGTAAACCACTTTTGGCGGATTCTTGTTCTTTTCTGCTTCCAACTATTTCCTATTTCCGCTTAAATTAAGACAGAACCAAATTCACTATTTTAATGTACAAAGCCATGACACGCTGCTTCTAACCAGATTTACCACATCTCCCACACTTTAGCGGGCACAACCCGACGCATCACTGCCCAATGGCCCAGAGCACTTTCAGCGTGCCATTCTGCAAGCTGCTCGGTGTCGTTACGCCGTACGATGCGAGCCTCTTCCGTCGACCGGAAATCGGTGTCCACCACCTCGTATTGTGGCACGAGAAAGTGCTTGCGGGTCTCGCTGTTTAGCAAATCTGCTTTCCGCGGCGCCCGGAACTGGATATCAGAATCCCGCTCCCCGTTCTTTGTGCAAAAAATGACGACGTTGGCAAAGTCGGCACCCGTGCTGTCAGCATCTTGCGGGTGTTCGCGGAAAATACGACACGCTGGGAACACCGTGCGGATGGTGAGCACAACGGCCTTGATGGGTGTCAATGCAAAGTCGCCAGCATAATTCTGTGCAAAATGTCAGCGCGAGCTCCGTGTTATTGTAGGACACAAAAATGGGCAGGGACTTACAATAGCAACAACGCCCGACGGCTTCAGAAGGGTGTGTAGATTCTGCAAAAACTCGAGAGTAAACAGGGAAATAGGCT